CTAGAGTGCCAAGGCTAAAAGGCAGAATGCCCCTGGGACTGGTCCAACGAGGCACCTAAAAACCATGTACCGCGGATTCAGACATCGTTCTGTGAAGGAAAAACACCTAAACCCGAGAGGACAGCTGCTGCAGTGTCCAGTTCAGCTTAAGAATTTCAACAGTTAGTCATGCAAAAAATGTTTTGGTTAAAAAAAAAACTCGTATCATCATAATTCATAATGTCCTAAACTTCAATCTAAAAGGGTAATATTAGATACTTTTTTTTTTTTTTGAGACAGAGTTTCACTCTGTGGCCTGGGCTAGAGTGCAGTGGCGTCGTCATAACTCACTGGAACCTCAAACTCCTGGGCTCAAGCGATCCTCCTGCCTCAGCCTCCGGAGTAGCTGGGACTACAGGCATGCGCCACCATGCCCGGCTAATTTTTTCTATTTTTAGTAGAGATGGGGTCTTGCTCTTACTCAGGCTGGTCTCGAACTCCTGACCTCAAGCTATCATCCTGCCTTGGCCTCCCAGAGTGCTAGGATTACAGGCGTGAGCCACCGCGCCCAGACAATATTAGATACTTGAGAGCAATGAAAATGAATGAATTCCTTCATTAAACCTGGATTAATCCCAAATCATAACGTGGACTGATACAACGCAGACACCAAATGATATATTCTGTTTATTCCTACGTATGTGAATTCCAAAGTATATTATCAGTATTAATATTTAGGATGTCGGTTACTTTTGGGGCAATAATAGAGACTGAGGGGGTGTGTGGAGGGTTTCATAGGAGGCCTGTGTCACAGTAGGAACTCGTGGCGTTTCTAGGAAACCAGATCTCCAGTTTTAGCTGATAACATTCTACTTTCATATCTGGGAGGTAGCCACGTAGCAGTGTTAAGCATGTACCAAGATACATACTTAGGATTTTTGTGCTTTCCTGTATGTGCATCAGACTTCAGTAAAAATGTTCATTTAAAATAGTAAATGCGGTCTTAAATTATAGTTGGACTTGATGTAATTAAATAAAGGGAATGATCTTCTATTAATATGTTCATTTAATAATTATCAGAATATCAAATGTTAGAAACTGGGAGTGGAAGGGGGTCTGGGAGTGGGGGAGGGGAGGTGCTGGCCAAAGGGCGCCAACTTTCAGTTATAAGGCACAGGCATCTGCAAGGCCACCACCAGTGACACCCATTGTGCCAACGAAACGACATATACCTCAGGAAACATCCCCTCATCGCCTTCCCTGTTTAATTCTTTCTGAATTAACGGTTAGCCTTCCTTGAGAACATTTGCTTTGCTACTTTAATCAAAGTTACGATTAGTTTGTGTGGACCTCACCTGGTCTGATCAGACTAGCCACCCTGATCTCATCAATTAATGAGACAAAGATGATTCCGGCAACACCTCAAAGGAGAAAACTGAACATGTTTGCCTTTCCCTAATCCGTTTGTCACAAAGCTTTCAGTAACGGTTATAAAACGTTAATCTGCTGCTGTCACACCCACTTTATTAGCTCCGTGACTCCCCCCTGCCCTCTGGGAACAGTAGTAAGTTTTTCCTTGGCCTACAAGGCTTTCCTGGGCCAGCTCTAAGCCTCTCCACTCCATCTTAGAGGATGTGGCTGGGTGTCCATATCTGGGTACACTGGTCTCTTTTTTCCTGTAGAACCCATTCTTTCTTGTTCATCTGGACCTTTCCTCAAGTTCCCTCCTTATGGGTCCTCTTCTCTTCCTCCCCTACAACATACAGAGCACACGTTCTCACTCGGAGACATGCACTCAATCCCACATAGACAAGGCTGGAAAGGATTATGGTGCCGGGCGCGGTGGCTCTGGTGGCTCTCGCCTGTCATCCTATCACTTTGGGAAGCCAAGGTGGGAGGATCGCTTGAGGTCAGGAGTTTGAGACCAGCCTGAGGAAGAGTGAGACCCTATCTCTACCAAAAATAGAAAATGTAGCCGGGTGTGGTGGCGCAC